AGTCATGGTATTCATGAATCTCCTCTGTAAACTATATTCCTTCCCCACAGCATTCATGAGAAAGGCTCTAATCCTGCGGGGTTTATCCCTCCGACTGTGTAAATATGATTTACTGAGATGAAAAGAGGATTTACACATAAATGGAAAAATGTGCGTCGGAACATATCAAACACAATCAGCGGCACTGTCAGGTGGTCTAGGAAGTAAAACAAAAAGGAAAGAACGGCGGGAGTCCGGAAAGTCAACATGAAACGTCCACGTTGGGGTAAAAGTCAGGAGCAGAAAATGACAGGTTACAGCATGACTCATTACTCAGTCACAGTCGTGTGTGGTGAGGGAACAGGGGTCTAAAAGTGAAAAAAGGTGGGGGCCACTGCTGCCTCCATCATTTCCTTTGTCCAATTTTTTTTATTTTTCAGTTAGAAAATGATTTTAGAAAATGTGTTTTTGTTGAAAATAAATACTGTATTACACAAAAGTCCAACTCATTTTTGGTGATTCTTAAATAAAGGGTTTGTGTGCCGGAAGTGGCCCCTGAGCCAGAGGTTTGAGATCCCCGATTTAGACGAACATCATGAGAAAATGGGACTGAATTTTAAATATTGAGAATTATTTATAAAGACTGTGATATATATATATATATATTTCTAGAAATTAGCTTCACTGAAAAACAAGATGTTGCAACTTTCTAGATTTTGTTACCTTTTAATTTAAAATGAATTGTAGCTGAAATAACTAATTACTTGGAGAAAAAGTTTGACTGCACTTTCTGAATCAAAAGCACAGTATAATGGTTAATGTAGTGGTTCCCAAGGTGGGGGCGAGCCCCTTTTGGGTGCAGAGGCTGCAAATCAAATTCATTTTATTTTTAATATTTCAAATGTTATTTTCTGAGTTCATTTTAACTCTCACTCCTTCTCTTTCCGTCACTGCTCTGTTCCCTCCTCCCCCCCCCCCCCCCCCCTTTCCCCCCCCCCCCCCCTTTCCCCCCCCCCCCCCCTTTCCCCCCCCCCCCCTTTCCCCCCCCCCCCCTTTCCCCCCCCCCCCCTTTCCCCCCCCCCCCCCCTTTCCCCCCCCCCCCCTTTCCCCCCCCCCCCCCCCTTTCCCCCCCCCCCCCTTTCCCCCCCCCCCCCCCTTTCCCCCCCCCCCCCTTTCCCCCCCCCCCCCTTTCCCCCCCCCCCCCTTTCCCCCCCCCCCCCCCACTGTGTGAAGTTAAAAAGGCTGGGGGGGGGGGGGGGGAAAGGGGGGGGGGGGGAAAGGGGGGGGGGGGGGGGAAAGGGGGGGGGGGGGAAAGGGGGGGGGGGGGGGGGGGGAAAGGGGGGGGGGGGGGGGAAAGGGGGGGGGGGGGGGAAAGGGGGGGGGGGGGGGGAAAGGGGGGGGGGGGGAAAGGGGGGGGGGGGGAAAGGGGGGGGGGGGGGGGAAAGGGGGGGGGGGGGAAAGGGGGGGGGGGGGGGGAAAGGGGGGGGGGGGGGGGGAAAGGGGGGGGGGGGGGGAAAGGGGGGGGGGGGGGGAAAGGGGGGGGGGGGGGGGAAAGGGGGGGGGGGGGGGGAAAGGGGGGGGGGGGGAAAGGGGGGGGGGGGGGGGGGGAGTGTGGCACTCACTCTGGGGGAAGCGCGGCGGGTTGTCGTTAACGTCTGTGATCACGATGGTCACCGTGGTGGAGCCCGAGAGACCGCCCATTTGTCCTGCCATGTCTGTTGCCTTGACGACCAGCTCGTAACGATCCTGCGTCTCACGGTCCAGATCTGCCACCGCCGTCCTGATGATGCCTGGTAATTGGGGGATGGCGTCCAGATTAGCAGGCAGAAAATAAAGACCGGAAAATTTGCACAGTAAGTCGGCCCAAGAAAAGTCGGTCAAGGCCAGCGGTTAGCCTTATTTGCCCACTCGGTTTGAATGCCAGCCACTGTAAGCAAGTGTATTAGGAAGAAAATGTGCAGCTCATTCCATTTCATCCCCACACGACAGGCTGGATGGAGAAGATTGTGTCATATTGCACTTCTGCCTGTGCAGCGCTTTATGGCTCAGCTGTATTAAAATGAATAATAGATAGGGCAAAATGAAGGCATGCCCGGGCCACCGCGGCCAACAGTGCAACACTTCCCTGCCGGATGAAACAGCTCTTAAACCTGAGAAATGGATTTCTAGAGAGGGAAGGAGCAACAAAGGAGGTGTGATGGAAAGATGATCAAGAAAAAAAAAATCTGTTGTGTTTACTCAGCTGAAAATTGGCAAGAAAGATATTAAAATGATATTTCCTGAAACATAACGTTTCATAGTCATTTTTGCACAACCAGGTTCTGGGTCTCTACCTCGGTTTATAAAAACACTGATCTTTTGGGCCCAGTAGTGGTGGCATCTGTAGTGGGCAGTGGGCGCCCCCTAGTCTGCACTAGTACTGTTTGGTGCAGGAATTACCGATTCCACCAAAAAGAAACCAAACATCTTCTTCAAGGGCTATTGAGAGTGAAATGAAGTCCCTGGTGGATACAGCACTGTTCCATAACCAGGGTGAAGTGTGTGTGATATAAAAGATTCTCATCAATTCAACAACAACAACAGTGAACAATGAGCGTTCTGCTTCTCAATGTCGTTTGTTGTTATCCAAAAGGTTTACCAGTGCAAGGATGGATTCAATGTACGAAGAGAAAACACAGTGAGTGAAGGTTCGTATTATCTACCTAATAAACCACAGAGAAAGAATAGTTAGCGTTCATCGGCTGGGGCGAAGCCAATGATCTGTTCAATCTAAAATGAAGTTAGTCTGATTCTGGTTTGAGAACCTAGCTCATCTCGCTAAGTTAGCAGGACTTAATTAACAATGACTGCGAACATTTTCAACAAGGTAAACTTGTGGCTGGCTACGGTACATGTTATTTACTCGTTCAGAGACAGGTTGTTATTTATTCTGCTAGGAAACCGAGATGCTAATGGGCTGTGTGTTAGCAAAGACCAGAAAAAGGACTGTTCACCGCCTCTGAAATGTAAAAGCTTATTAAAAAAACAAACATCAATGAGAATATCAGAGGTGGCTTTCATAACATAAAGACAAGCACAAAGCCTCAGTGAAAAACTCGACAGTTCCTGACACCACTGAAAACCTACCCTAATTCCTGGACTATGAGCCACTACTTTTTTCACACGCTTTGAAGGAAAGAGCTAACCTGTAACCAGCCGTGTTACAGGGACTGTTTGGAAAATAAGCATTTATTTAATTAAAAGTGAAGAAGTGCAGCCTATATATGTACAATTATTATTACTTTTTTTTTTATTTAGTGGGTACGGCTTATATTCAGGTGCGCTCAATAGTCCAGAAATGACAGTATATGTACAAATGACCTGTGAATGTTGGTATGAACTTTACTTCTTATATAAGTATGATACAAATGTCTTTTTTGTTTTTAGGCCAAAAGAAAAAAAAAGGTTTCTTTCAGTCTTCGACAGACGGGTTGAAAAACAAAGTAAGACAAAGTAAGACTTCCTGTTCCTGTTGGAGTCTCAGTGTACAATAGTGATACCAATGACACACGTTTCACATCTGTTATTCTCCTCTTCATTATGTACCATTCCACACACAGATCTATGGGGTTAGAACCGCCCGCCTCCAAAATGGAAAACAGGAGCGGGTAGAATTAGGGTCGGAGTAAAGAAGTTGGAATGAACTGTCCCATCTACCGGCCGGTCCCAGCAAAGCAGAGCCATTTATCATCCAGGCAGTGAGGCTGACTGGTTCAAAGTGGTGGACACCGAAGGAGGAACCATTAATACTTTAGTGCTGTTCCCTGGGGGGGGCATCCAGAGCCAACGCTGACGCTAAGCTTTGCCTGAAGGTGCGTGGGGTCAAGACATACCAATGGTATAAGTGTCTGAGCAAAGAAGCAAATACAACATTTTCAATGAGCAGTGCAGGGACATTTGTCATCATTTAAATAGATGAATTAGATCAATAGAAGAATCGGATGAAATGGAAGTGGAGAGCCGTTGGAACAAAGCTCTTTTCTTTTTTCGTTTTTTAAAGAAATAGTCGTTAAAAAAAATTGATTCAGTAAAACAAAATCCGGATTAGATCAATAGAAGAATCGGATTAAATGGAAGTGGAGAGCCGCTGGAAAAAACATCTTTTCTTTTTTCGTTTTTAAAAGAAATAGTCGTTAAAAAAATTGATTCAGTAAAACAAAATCATCAAAAACATCATTCCTCTATTGAATGTCATACAAGGTTCTGGGTAATTATCAGGGCTAAGTTGCTCTGTCATCCAGGAGAATTTGTTGCAAACAACAGTGGAACAATACAACTGTGAGTGCGGAGACAGCGCCAACGTCCTTCTTACCTGTGTGTCTGTCCACCGTGAAAAACTTCTCTCCGTCCAGAACACTGTACACCACTCTCGCACTGCTGCCGTACGTAGGATCATCGGCGTCAGATGCAGTGACATTCATGACAGACGTTCCTGTTGAAAAGAAAACAGTTTGTCAAATGGCGGACCTGGAATTCTCAGAAGGAGGGGTCGGAAAAAAGCGAGAGTGTAAACGTTACTAGACATTTCACGGGACTCCATTTGAATTCCAGGCGACCACACATGGGGTCAAGATAGATTTTAGAATCTAAAACTTGGAGTGTGGGTGAACTAAATCAGAGAACTGAGCATTTGTCGAATGAAAAATCATATATGCATAGATGGATATAAAACTGTTCAGTCTCCATCTTTGTTCAGTGTGATTGTTAAACCTGTAACCTGTTAAAGTACTGGCCTTTCTTCAGTTCTCAAAACCAGCTGAAGGACTACAAGAACTTGGTTTGAATTCTGCCAGGAATCAGAATAGTCAGTCTTGAAAGGTTCATTGTGAGGTAAGTCAGGAAGTTTAATGTTGCGGTGTAAAAATTCTGTCCCTTTGACAGGAGAAAATACAACAACAGTAAAAGGAATCTGCTGCTGTCCTTCATACACAGAGGTACAGTGAGGGTATAGGGTCAGATTTCAGGCAAAACTTTTCCTCAAAACTTTTTTTTTAATCAAAATTTAAATCTACATCTTGCACTTACTGCAAACTGGATTTATTTTTATTTTTTTTTTTTTCTTGTCACATCAGAGTATGTTGTGTTGAAACACTAGACCAGTGGTTCTCAAAGTCTAGGACACCACCCGTCCACACCGCCCCTAAATCCCTTGGGCAATTTTTGTGTGAATGGCAGAACCAATAACTTTGGGGTTTAAGTGGTCGACCATTGGCCTATCTAGAAAACTGGGGAACTGCAGGTGTTTACTCAAAAATGTGAGAGTAAGGGTTAAGAGTAGAGATTTCCCACCGACTATAAAATCAAACTTTGTTCTAACATAAATGTTGTATCTAGATATCCGTCAATTTAAGAAGCTAAATCTCCTAAACCGCACGGAAAATCTCCAGCTCCAGCAAAAAAACAGATTCATTAATATTGCACTTATTCTTTTTCGTTGTTTACCAGCGGCTGAGATCATTTGACTTTTACTCCTGCCACTGTTTCTTTTCAACAAGTAAACATTTCTGCTGAGAAGAGCTTTTAGAAAAATGAAAGAAAGAAATATAAAGGAATGGGTTTGACCCCCAGGACAGATATGTCAATGTTCACACACTCTGTAGCCTGCAGCTAAAGGAGAATACTGTTTTATGTTTTCGATCAATTACTTCATCTAGAAATGTCCTTTATACTCTGCCGCAAGCGCCTACAACATTTTTTAGAAATTACTCTATATTAGCTAAAATGAAAGTTAAAAAAGCAGACGTCCCTCGGTGTCACAGGTCATCGTGAACAATGAGTCGGTCCTTTTTGTCTCTCGCTCACCGCTGCATCTGGTAATTAGTGACAGCTGGAGTTGTGCACCAAAGGTCACCGCTGTAGTCTCTCTCAGAGCCCTGACATGCTACTGTCCACTCACATAATGGCCATATGCTAATGATGCTAATTAGCGGGCAGTGTCAGGGTTCTGTTTGTTTCCTGTCATGCAGCAGAGCTCCTGCAGGGGAGGAGGGAGTGGCTGGAGGACTATCATTAAAGCCGCTCGGCCACTAAATTAGACAGTTCAGATCACAGCCCTGCCGCTGTCACCTTATAGTGTTCTTGTGTTTTCCAGGTAGAAAGCGAAGAGCTGGTGGGTTCTCATACTAACAAGCTGGCGGCCCACAGAGTATTGATGCAGGACTGTGTCTAATCTACTCCAGTGGTGAAACAAAAGAGCGCTCCTTGATCTGCAGCCGTCCTGAATCAGTGCTTCTGCAAAGTCTAAAACACATGTTGTAGAGCAATCAACAACCTTTTTTTATTTTAAGTTAAACCCTGGTAACAATATCACCATCAGAGAATTCAAAGCACTCAGCGTAAACAAGGCTACGATGAGATTTTAATTCATACGCAGCCATTAACTCAAACATTTACCAAATGAGCCAAATGTGCACGAGTACATTTGGGCTCTGTTGTTGCAAAATTAAGTCCACAGTTGGAGGATAAGTGAGATATCACCGTTAGCGTCGACATTACTTGACACTGTATATGGTCCATGCATTTCCATTAAAGGTTTATTAATTCTGCCTCCCCAGTTGGCGCCAACAAAGTCATTTTCATCCATGGGATTACTTCCTTATCTTAATTTTCCTCAGGTAACAATCAGTCCGTTGCTCAGCTTTTTTTGGGTAGTGGCTGGCAGCAATGTCAGATGGCTTGGAAGAACTATATATATGCAAATGCTTATTTTATTGTGTTTATATTTAAATGGGACGCAAGGCGGGGCAGTGAGTTTGCCCACTTTTCCATTAAGCTCAGAGAAGCTTCAGTGTTTCCTGTGGAAGCAGTGATTATTTACATTATCTGTCTGCAGCGGTCGGTCTCGCACTTAGGCAGATTCTACCGTCAGCGTGCCTTTTAAAGAACTGAATGGAAATTATTGACTTTTCCACGCTGCAGGGAATCCCATGCGATAGCGATGAAGTGAGAATGATGAAGGATGAACGACCAAATTGGAGATTTTCATTATACAATTTAAAGTCTGAAGTTTGAATAGCACTAAAGAAGCAGCATGTCTCTTCGTCTCTCTTTATTTCCCCTCGCTTCTATAAATGCCAAGGCAACTTGAAGGTACAGACACAGTATGTGTAGGTCATGATAAATTAGCTCTACTCTTCAGTGTTCTGTTTTCACCTTAATCCATTAGTGCAGATAAATTCAAAATTAAACATAATCCTAAAGAGTGGTTAAACAGACAACAGAGCTAATGTTAGCTACATCAGTCCCAGTAAAGATACCAGAACTAATGTTAACTAAAACAATCCTGGTACGTGCACCAGAGACAATATTAGCTAAAACAGTCCTGGTAAAGATACCAGAACTAATGTTAACTAAAACAATCCTGGTACGTGCACCAGAGACAATATTAGCTAAAACAGTCCTGGTAAAGATACCAGAACTAATGTTAACTAAAACAATCCTGGTACGTGCACCAGAGACAATATTAGCTACAATATTAGCTAAAACAGTCCTGGTAAAGATACCAGAACTAATGTTAACTAAAACAATCCTGGTACATGCACCAGAGACAATTTCAGCTACAACAGTCCTGGTACAGACACCAGAGCCAATGTTAGCTACAACAGTCCTGGTACAGACACCAGAGCCAATGTTAGCTACAACAGTCCTGGTAAATGCACTAGAACTAACTAATGTTGGCGGAAAACAGTTCTTGTGCATACACCAACGCTAATGGTAGCTCAAACAGGGTTGGTACAGACACCAGAGCTAATGTTAGCGACAACAGTCCTGGAACAGACTCTAGAGCTAACGTTAGCTACAACAGCCCTGGTACAGACACCCTAAGGTTACCTACAATAGTCCTGGTACAGACAACAGAACTAATGCTACTAATGTTAGCTACAATGGTCCTAGTGCAACAAACAGCGTAGCCAGTCCACAGAAGACCAGATGACAGTGTTCAGAGCCAGAGAAAGAGTACTAGCCGTACTAACAGGAGAATCTATCAGATGAAAAATGAATGATATAAAAAAGAAACTTATTTGGGATTTAAGAGGATGTGTATGTGATGTCTTTACTGATACAGCTGTCATCCCAAATTAATTTAAATTAAATTAGTTTTGTCCCCTGAAGGAGAAGAAAATAAAAATCATAAACTCACCCCTGTCCCCTTCCTTCAACACGTCTTCACCAACAATCTCCACGTTTTCTTTCTCCATATATCTTCTCTGCCATCTTCCTCTTCGCCTCTTTCCTGGCACCTCCATCTCTCCAACATATTCACTATCTCTCCTCAACACATGTCCGTCTCTACCTCTACTCTCTAACTTCGTCTCCAACTCAGCCTTTGGTCTTTTGGACAGAGCCACCGCCTCTAAACCACACATCATAACAGCAGAACAGCCATAAACGTCCCCCAAAAAATTTAGGATAACACACCGTCTGCAGTGAAGAGGGATATAAATAAATAAATATGAAAAGTAAATATATAAATATAAAAGACTGTGGCATGCTGTCCTTAATTGTCAAAACTATAATTAGGATTGCGGTTACTAACGATGACGACCTCTTTGAACTGACCCTTCCTCATTCATGGTGTTAGAGGTCAATACATGGTATTACTTGTGAAATAAACAATTCTCCAAACATAATAAAAAAGTAATAGATCAAGGCGAGGGCAATGTTTGGGGTCAGAGGTTTAATGTATTGGAGGAGGGTGTGTGTGTGTGTGTGTGTGAAGGCAGGGGTTTACAATAGCTACACAGCTGGATTTATGCATGACTTTGGTTTAATAGTATCAACATGCTAGAATGGCGTCCCTCGACACTTCAGGACTCTGGGAAAGATGGTTCAATTACTGTGAGGGTAGCTGGAGGAGTGTGCCTCGTGTGAGACACTAGACTGACAGCTATTTAAGAGGCAGCCTCGTAAAAGAGATTTGTGCCCGTCTCAGCTGATGCTGCACCGGTGCGGGCTTCAACGTGGGGCTCTAACGGCTGCAGCACGGAGACGGTTTCCCCACTCCCGACCACCTTAATCTGTGGGACTTAGTGCTCCCTGCCTGCATTATGGATCATTTAGTGAAGCCATAAAAGCTGAGGTGTTTTCACATGAAAAGTAATTTCTTCACTACTTTTACTGTGATTCATTCCCCCACCATCCATATAAATGCCCCGGGAAGGAGAGAGAGACAGGGGCGGAGAGAGTGATGGAAAGAAGGCTGGTGTGGAACAATGTGGTATAAAAGAAGACGGAAAAAATCTGCCGCGTCATAAAACCCAATGGTGTGCTTACATTGGTCCTGTCCAAGATCTCTTGTAAAAAGTCTTTACCGATATTTTCCCAGCCGTCTCAACAATGACAATAAATCTAACGGTTGTTAGCTAAGTGCTTCGTGCAGCATCATTTTATAGATCGAATCATCATTTCTTTTCTCTAAATTCCATCACGTCA